ACTCCTTGGAAGTGAGAATGGCCAGACTTTGTCTCACCTACTTAGGTCATGTTGTCAGAAGGGACCATTCCCTGGAGAAGGATGTCATGCTTGGTAAGGTGGACGATCAATGAAGGAGGGAAAAGCCCTCAACAAGATGGATTGACAGAGTGGCTGCAGCAATGGGCTCAAATATAGCAGGGATCACAGAGCTGGTGCAGGACCAGGCAGTATTTTGTTCTGCTATGTATAGGGTCTCAATGAGTTGGAGATGACTCAACGGCACCTAACATCAACAACAATAACAGCCATAGTAGTCAACATAGCATGGTATTGGTACAATGATAGATAGACCAATGGAACAGAATCAAAAGTCCAGAAATAGACCCATCCATCTATGGATAGCTGTTCTTTGACAAAGGTCCAAAGCCCATTAAATGGGGAAGAGACAGCCTCTTTAACAAATGGTGCTGGCAAAACTGGATATCCACTTGCAGAAAAATGAAACAAGCCCCATACCTCACCCCAAACACAAAAACAAACTCAAGCAGGATCAAAGACTTACATATAAAACCTAAACTATAAAACTCATCAAAGATAAAAGAGGAGCAAATCTGTTGTTGTTGTTGTTATGTGCCTTCAAGTCAGACCCTACTCATAGTGAGTCCTCCTTGGGTGTCCAAGGCAGTATCACTATGGAACAAGATTGCCCAACCTTCCTTTCAAGGAGTGGCTGGTGGGTTTGAAATGCCAGTCTTCTGGTTAGCAGTCAAGTGCCTTAGGCACTATGCTACCAGAGCTCCTAGGGGCAAATCTAGGAGCCCTAATTTATGGCATAAATAGACTATCAAACATAACCCAGAATGCACAGGAAGTAGAAGAGAAGCTAGATGGCTGGGACCTTTTGAAAATTAATTTCTTTTAAAAATTAAATTTGCATTGAAAGACTTCAACAAAAGGGTAAGAAGAGAACCTACAGATTGGGAGAAAATATTTGCCTATGACATATCTGATAAAGGACTTATCTCCAAAATCTATGCAAAACTTCAGCATCTCAACACCAAAAAGACAAACAATCCAATACAAAAATGGGCAAAACACTTGAACAGACACTTCACTAAAGACGATATGCTAGCAGCCAACAAACATGAGGAATTGCTCACTATCTTCAGTCATTAGAGAGATACAAATCAAAACAACACTGAGATATTATCTCACCCCAGCAGTAACAGCAAAGTTCAACAGGACAGAAAATAACAAATGTTAGCAAAATTGCGGAGAGATTGGAACTCTCGTGCACTGCTGGTGTGATTGTAAAATGGTACAATCGTTGTAGCAAATGGTATGGTATTTCCTTAAAAAACTGAAAATAGAAATACCATTTGACCCAGCAATTCCATTACTAGGAATATACCCTAAAGAGGTGAGAGACAGTGCATGAACAGACATATCCATACCTATGTTCATCACGACACAATTGACTATAGCAAAGAGATGGAAACAACCTAAATGCCCATCAGTGGATGAATGGCTAACCAAATTATGGTACATTTACACAATGGAATACTACGCTACATTAAAGAGCAATGAAAGATATGCAAATCATCTCACAACATGGATGAGTTGCTGGAGGATATTATGCTGAGTGAAATAAGTCAATCGTAGAAGGACAAATACTGTATGAGTCCATCACTGTGAAAAGAAGGGTTTGCTTGAGAAAGGGAACTCACTTTGTAGATTATGTAGATTATGGGGAGGGAAGAGGAGGGATTGATTTCAGGCTAGTTGGGGGCCACACACTGATGTGGGTAAGGGGAGAGATGGTATGGAAAGAGTCTATGACCACCATGATAACATTAGGTATTGTGCATATAAGATATAGACGACAGATGCTAATACCAACCAGTATATCCACAATACTGCATTACCATTAACACCAAACACTAGGCTTGTGATAAACACATAAACATTTAAGAAGATCAGATAGGGGTCAGTGAACAGGAGTATACTCTAGACCAGGATAGATTCAGCACAGGCTAATCTTGCACAGATACCAGTGATGCAAAATACCCACAGTCCTTACAGAAACAACAGAAGACAGCCATAGAGGAATCTCTCACAGACAGCCAGACACTGTGCAAGAGAGATCCAATGGATCTACTGACTCAGGACCATAGTACTGGGGGACACTGGACTCAATTGGCACAACAAAGTACATAAAAGTCTTGTTCCTCATCCTACATTGGTGAGTAGCAACTGGGGTCTTAAAAGCTTTCAAGCGGCAATCTAACATGCAGCTAATGGTCTCCTATCATTGAAAGCGAAGAAGAGTGCAAAAAAACAAGGGCATTTGGAAGCAATCAGCCATAGGACACAAAGGCCCTTGAGACCAGAAGAACTAGATGGTGCCCAGCTACCAATGCACCACTGAGAAAAGGATCAAATCTGCAGATGCTGGATAGAGTGGGAGGAAAAACATGGAACAAAATCCAAAAACTCAATAATGACCAGAATTACTGGTTGGATGGAATCTGGTGAGACCCCCCAATACTATGGCCCTGGGATCCATTCTGGGCTTGGAATAAAACTTACTCCCATGGGCTGGCTCTTGGCCCAGTAGTAAGCAAGATGTACATGCAGACCACTCAACCCAGGGTGATGCACCCACATACTCTATGGAAATGCATCCGTTGGAGCAATCGACCAC